ATCCGCGAGCGAGGAACCAGCCTGCAGCCAACCGCTCACGCTGGTTCCTGGCTCGTGGATTTCTCTACCTTGAAGATGGAGGCATTATTCATAGTCACCCCCGTGAAAACCTCAAATCTTACATGAATACATCATTTCTTAAAAGAACTCACAGAAAATGTGTAGTGTGCTGTAATCCTTGCAGACGGTTTTGCTCTGTTGTATAACATCTGACATGGAATTACAATGTACGCTTGCTGTTGCTGGTAGAAGACATTATTGCCGTTACACTATTTACGTTTGGCTGTAAGATCATTTAATCATCAAGAATTTGATACACTTGATGGCAATTTTATACTTATCTTCCGGTATTGTTCCCCTCAGAAAACGGCATGAGAGCTGTTAAGTTTCAATATTCTGTAGTTAAGAAAAAAAATCCTTCACATTTCAGTTAACAAAGCGGTAAGGTGCTTGACACGCAATCAGAAAGTCTCGGAGAGCGTTCTCAACCGACTGCCTCTTATGAAGTTACTGAACATTAATTTCTTGTCATCTACTTTCAACGCAGTTCCTTTAAACAGGCCATAGTACAGTCGTTTCCAACTATATTGTTTAAACATTTTAAACATGTCAAACCCATTTTTATAGCCAAGCATCACTCACTCATGGAGCTGAGCCGTTCTTGAGAAACTGCCAATTGTGCAGATACTCAAGAGCTTGCCAGCATTTTATGGAACCCGAAACTTCATTACCGTGTTCACCTGAGCCCTCCACAGGTCCCTATCCTCAGCCAGATCGATCCAATCTATACCATCCAATCCTATCTCTCTAAGTTTCTTTTTAATATTGTCCAAGCAGCGGTATCTTTCTATCTGGCTTTCCCACCAATATCCTATATGCATTCCTCTTCTCTTCCATTCGTGCTACATGCCCTGCCTACTCAGCCCCCTTCACTTAATCATTCTAATTATACTTGGAGAAGTGTACACGTTATGAAGCTCCTCATTATGCAGTTTTCTCCAACCTCCTGTCACTTCATCTCTCTTCGGTCTAAATATTCTCCTGTGCACCCTGTTCTCAAACACTCTCAATCTATGTCTCTTCCTTAATGTCAGAGACCAAGTTTCACGCCCATACAGAACCACAGGCAAAATTATAGTTTTGTATATTCTAATTTTTATGTTTTTGGACAACAGACGAGAAGACAAAAGGTTCTGGACTGAATGGTAGCAAGCATTACCCGAGTTCAATCTCCTCTTAATTTCCTCCTGAATCAAGTTTTGATCTGTTACAGTTGTTCCCAAATATCTGAACTGTGCCATATTTTCAAAACATCTGTTACCTATTTTTATGTCATGATTTTGCCCTGCATTTCTGGCCAAGCGTCGCCGAAATAAATTTGTGATAATCCCGAGCAAAATTCGAACTCCTTCGTTTCGTAGGCTCGCGGATTACTTTTCGGAGTCACGAGCTCTGTAGTAGTTTTCACCTTGTATTCACGACAGAAGCGGTGACTTTGAGCATTACTGTCCTCTGGGCTGTGCGCCTCTACCATGAACATAGAGACAGCAGGAAGATCGGTAACGATCTACCAGACTTCATGGCGTCACATCCCTGAAGGCATAATCTTCGTATCTATTCTTTACTAAACACATATACTGAGTAACAGCTAAGAGTCGCTCTGTAGGTCGAGATTCACTGCCTTATTCACAAGGTTCACAAGAGTCCGCCATTAATCCTTATCCAGAGGAGCCAGAAGAATCCAGTCGAACATCTTCGTATCCTATTTCTTTAGGCCAATTTTGTTAAAAGGTAAAAATTATGCAGTTTTACCAATTTCTCCTGTTGTTTTCTCCTTCTTAGATCCAAACCCTCCCCTCCCTGTTCTGAAACACCCAACTCCATACTATTACTTTAATGAGAGATTAAGGTTCTGAACTAAAGAGTAGCAAATATTTCCCGAATGTAATCTCTCTTAAGGCATAAACACAGTGGCCGCGCGGTCTAAGACATGAACTGTTTTTGCTCGCTCGAAAGCTGGGATAGTGGGTTCGAATGCCACTCAAGGCATGGATGTCTGTGTGCGTTTATTCTGTGATTGTGTTGTTCCGTGGGTAGGTAGCGGCCTTGTCACGGGCTGAATCCCCTGTACAAGGAGTCCTACCGACTGTGCATAGGATTCAGAAACAGTGGCCAAGGTCCAATAAAAGGACCGCAGAGCCATAGACAGGCAATCTCTCCTAACTTCTTCGGGAACGTAATTATTTCCCCGGGGGTTAAGCAGCAGGGGCGTGAAGTTCATCATTTACCTCCATTTAGTGACAAGATCCGCGTTACATCTCCACTCCCCCGTATGTCTTCATGGCGTCGCTTTAATTAATTAAGTACGGGGAAAGCTTTATCTTTACCATTTACTGCAGTTCCGAATAGGCCAATTTTGACGTTCCAGACTTTTAAGGATATATTAGCTATTGTAATTACATTACTTCGTCTTTCATTCTGGTGACGGGACGCTAACATATCAGTGGTTTTATCTGCGTTCGCTTCTAGATCAGCCCCTCTCCTGCTTCTAACAGAGCTTCAGTTCATGGATAGGCCCAGTAAATTCCATCGTCGCCAAGTGTAAGAAACTGATGCCCCCCATTCAATTTCACCCTCTCATTCTGATTATACTGGGCCACATTTTGAAGTATTCTAAAGCAATGTTTCCTTCTTTTAAAGCATTCCTTACAAACAGCTGGAATCGATTAGATTGTAATAAACAGTGCCATTAGGTCGGTAGGATTAGTTTCAATAGTGATCAAATAGAATTCATGTAATATCTTAATATTTCCAGTTTCAAGGCTGAAAGTACGGTTTGAAAGCAACGGTGTTGGCAAAACTGCGTGGTGTATTTGTTTTCGACTCCAAAAATACAAGTTGGTAGACTTTGTCGACAGTTCTGTAATTAGTTAATCCCATATTATCTCAGTCGTCCAATGACAGGCTAACAAAAAAAAACGTGAACTTTCTAAGTTCTCTTGTTCACGTTGCTTGAGCAGGATCAGCAGAGTTTAACAAACGTACGTAATGTCCAGCTGAACGATATTTTAATTCCAAAAAGGATCGCTTAAACCGTAAACTTCTAAGTTTTACTTTTTGCCTCACTGTGAGGTATTCTTATTGTGAGGCAGGAATTTCTGAAATTCCGAATAAATTAGTGCAGCGCAGGCAAGGAACCTATTCTACTGCAGGTATCAGCAAAGAGTCATGAAGTGAATAATTGTTAACAGTGAAACACAAGAAATATTTGCTGTCTCTGTCATGTTTCCTCAAGCGGAACATAGGATTCACTTGTAAAGTGATACAATGGGCACCTTCACCCCATGGAGTGCATTTCTAAACGAATTCTAGCAAGTTTTGCTGTTCCAGAATTGGTATAAAACGAATCAGCGAATTTGTGAAGACACCAGTATCTTCTTGTAACTTATTGAGCAGTCAAGACTTGTGTGAACTCATTCGAGACCGTTCAAATTTCGCGAGACTTCCGTTGTAAAATGGCCAGAATAACGGTAAATCGGAATAAGAACAAATATATTAAAATACACGTAGTGTCACAGAAGCAAGCTGAAGCCCACTTACCCTTGCCCTTCAGGCATGCTACTTATACTGGCACGAAAAATTGGTGTGTGAATTTGCACGGAGTTTATAATGACATGCATAGGTTGTGTTGTAAGGTGTTACTTGTGCCGTGTTTTAAGTTTCACTGGCAGCCGATCATCAAATTTCTGAACTTTGCGCCTCATAAGACAACTATATTTATTGTCGACATATGCATTTGTTTTTATAAATCATCCATTAAAATTTGATTATCTCCTCTTGGTGGATAAAAATGAGGAAACAGAAAACGTCTTTAATGCACGACTCACGGCTAAAATTTCAACAGTAAGAACGCAAAATAGAGACAATTGAAGATACAACTATGTACGACAAAAAGCTATATAGTATAATAAAATACAATACGTTAAAGTTTTGAAACAATGTTCCTGAATATGTGACAGAAATGAAGGAGTGATAATTTTCACCAGGCTCCAACAAATATAGTACTTTAAAAAATGTTCAGTCACTGCATAAATTGCCATCTCTTACTCACTGAATAATGCAACTTAATCTTGAGCTCAGCTGGCCGTATATCAAAATATGTTTTCCTGGAGAATAAAGCTGTACGTATGTATGAAGCATCGCCTAACGCATTCCCAGTTCCACACTACGTTGGAGAATCTAACATCCGACAGTTTTTAAAATCATATTCTTCTGAAGGTGAAGATTTTCAGTTCTACGTGACCCTAGCAGAGAATTTTAAACTACATTGTTATTAACCAGTGTTGATACATGAGTCATCCAGCCAGTTGCTAGGATAACTTGAAGAAAGCGATTAAAATGAGGCAACTTGCATCAGTCTCAATGTGGACATATGATTTAGTTTCAAGCAGACTTGCATATTTGGAAGCATAAGCTCGATATATATATTGTAGGGAGCTTGGCCTCTCATCTAAGTAAAGAGCATATACTGAGGGTGTTTGAGAACAGTTCTGGGAGAATATTTGTACCTAAGGAGGTGGAAGTAATAGGATATATAAAGCTGCATAACGAGGAATTACACAGCAGTATGTTGATCAAACTTATGTGGACAGCAGTGGCAGGGCATGATTGACATATCGGAGAGATGAGAAACGCCTACAGTATTTCAGCTTGGAGATCTAGGCGCTGACTTTAATGATATTAAGACGGGTCTTCATCAAATTGAACGTGAGTGTGTTGTGGACTCAGCTTGCTCAGTATTGGGTCCAGAGCCGGGCTTTTGTGGACACGGTGCTGATATTCCGGATTCAATTAAGGGCGGGGAATTTCTTGACCACCTGAGCGGCTATTATCTTCTCGAAGGCCTCTGATACATGTAGTTAAATTATTTGAAGTCTGAACGATATTAATTTCGTTTTAAACTCTTATAACGATTAACTTTTCTTTCTCTCTCTCTTCAGATTTTAGCGTCTGCATTGCTGACAACAACCTTATGGCTGGACGTTAAGGCAGGATTTTACCCCATTAAGAGACCCGGAGGTGGCGGTATCACGAGTGGGAACACCAATACCTACGCTTTTTTCAGTGGCCCTGTATCGGCCCCCGCACATCCGGTCATTGTGAGCTCGGCGGCCAGCGGGAGCGGTACTGGGGGCTACACAGGTTTCTTAGGCTCCCTTGTCCGCGGTAGAACTGGAGGACAGGGGGACGCAAAAGGTGTAGTAGGATCTGCAGGCCACGGAGTACCTTCCGTTGACTTTGACGTGAGTAAAATAACATAATCAGCAATGTAAACGTTACGTTTTCATTGTGTGTAATTAAATACCACTTCATGTGGGGGTGGAGGTATAGTTTCACACACTATGCGGTATGCATGCAATTGTAAAGATATTCAAACAGAAGATACAACATAAAAAGAAGATAATATTTTAACATCTAAAATTGTTACCTCTTTCATACTTTATGTCTGTATTACTTATAATTACACTAAGATCTATAGCAATTGTATAGCCAGCTCATTATAGTGCTGAGCATTTGAAAATGGCCCCAAGGCCCGAAGCATATAAGGCCATATTGTGACATGAGAGCTGAAACCGGAACAGTTAACCCAAATTCCATTAGCCTATAAAGGTTGTGATGCGGCACCTTCCGTTCTCCCTTCCTACATTTATCTCAGATGAATTGTTGGATCTTGGCTTTGACGTTATTAGCGTTAAACAAATGTCAGCCACCCATCCAACTTCAGAACGAATATCCACAGTAAACCTTCCCCTCTTCCTCATAACCTCACCTAGGACGTCAAAGTTCCAGCATATACTCAGACTGACGAGCCTTCGCCATATTGCAATCAGGGCAGAGGCGTACGAAGCCCGGACTGATGTCACAGTGTTACAACTGCCATAAATTCGGCCATGTCTGGGCTATCTGCAAGCACCCTCCCCGCTGTATGTGGTGTGGGGGCGGTCACCTGCACAAGGAGTGCCGGGAAAGGGGCAATTGCAAGTTTGTGGACGAAGCGGAACCTCATCCTTCCAACTGTCGAGGCTGCGGGAACGTCAAGGAAGAGATGAGAAAGAGAAAGTCGCAGACAACGCCCAGGACTGCATCAGGAGGGGTGTTCTCTTCCAAAACCCCCACCCCTGCACTGTCCTTCCGGCGGCGCCTGGCAGCAACACACCGCAACAGCAGCAGCCTCATCCGCCCCCGGTTTCACAGGCATGCCCCGCCTCCCTAGAGGCACAACCAACAACAAGTTGTAAGGCAGTCAATTCCGACTCCAAATGTCAACAGTTTTTCTGTGAATGACATGTTCAAAGCAGTCGCAGCGGTGTTTCAGCAGATCATGACAGAGCTCAGTGGGGCAGGGTCAGAACACAGAATAGTGGCCATCACAAAAACTGTATTAAAACTCATGAAGCAAAATGTGTGCATGCAGATGACGTGCATTGCCGACTAAGACCGCGACAAATGAGAGACCCGTCCTCACGTCGGGGAGTGCGCCCCGCTTCGACAGAGCAGGAACTGTCTGGATGTAACAGATGGGCCTTCATACCAAGATTGACTGGCTAGCTGACCTTCGGTTGTATTGTGACTTTGACTTTGAGCAGTAGGTTAAGTGTGACACAGACGCCAGCCGACAACGACGTGAGCAAGAGAGGTCACTGTTGGTATCCATTCCCAGACAGCGATTGGTGAAGACATGGAAGACTTTATGTGCGCTGCAGTACGGCGATTTGCAGAGTGCGTAGATTGTTGAAACTGTTACAGTTATTTGTCCTTACAAGTTCTAAGTGTTCAATAAATCCAAATGCCAATCCAAACCCCGTGTCTGGTCACTAAATAGGTTACACCTTGTGTCAAAGTGGGATTAATCGGATCGGTTAGATTGGACTGAAATCCATTGACAGTCATGGCGGCACGCGAAAGTAGGATAGCCATCATGGAAAGTCTGAGGGCCGAAAGCAATGCTGCTTTCGAAGACATGAGGCCCAGAGTAAGCGCATGTGGATAAGCGATGGAGGCCATCAAAAAACAAAATGATGGCAGAGATGGACGCCAACCTAGAAAAGATGAAGGCCTCGAGGAAGGCTAACCGAAATGAGGACTGGCCTGGAAGAAATGAAGGCCACAGTGCCGGCGGCCAAGCAAAGAAAGATAGAAGTAATCGCGGGGCATTATGAAGGGGCGCCACGCGCAGAAGGCGCGAACCTTCTTACCGCCCTGCAGATCCGAGCTTCCGATGTTGTACAAGACCGACATTCGAGAAGAGAAGATGGACGCGACCGGAATGCAGCAACGGCATAACAAACCGAGGCATGAAAAGGAAGTTACGTCTGAGAAGCAAGGAGCGGCAAGAAGACTATCAACGCGGCCCTCAAGCAGATCCGAGCCGTAGATCTAAAAGCCAATAGTCGTGTCTTCCGTCAGGCTCCGGAAAATGAGTGACAGGACATTGTGGAAGGGCCGACCCCTTCCCAAGCGGAATAAGAAATACAGGCACTCCTGTACACTACTTGGGACCAATGTGACATGAGGGCTGAAACTGGCACAGTGGAGCGAGAAGAGACGGCCGTTGCTAAGCAACGGAATAGTAAACACGTCTCAGTGGCAACGAATCAGTTATGAGTCAAGAAGGGACATAGAAGGCTTGGCGTGTGCTGCAGTGAGAAGTGGAGTGCGCGAATTAGTGGCGGCGTTATAATTACTTCTAGTTAAGAGTTATAGATGTTCAACAGATTAAATTACCAATCCAGGCCCCGTGTCTAGCCACTAGCGTGTGACAACTTGTGTCAGAAGCGGGACAATTAGATTGGATTAATCGAGTTGTTGGATTGGAGACCGTAGACTGTTCTACCGTCATACCACGAAAATTGAATAAATACTGGAACGCCTGTTGACCTTTCAAAAAGAAACGAAAGTCCATCAAGAGATTATGATGGCCAACACGGAGGACAAGATGGATTCCAACCAAGAATAAATCCAAATCCAAATGGGTTCTCTCGACTCCCGGATGGATGTTAACCAAGCCAAGAACGGATGATAGCCAAGATGGATGCCTGGCTAGAATAGGCGAAGGGCTGCCGAGAAGAGATGGAGAACAATCAACAGAATTTAAGAGGCCACAGAGTCGGCGGCCGTAGCGGAGCATTACGAAGGGGCACCATGCGAAAAGGCGAAGCACGTGCTTACCGTTCGCAGGACCGAGCTCCTGATATTCTACACTGAGACCCTGAACGAGCCACGTATAAGGAACTAGCGGAGCAACTGAAGACCGAATTGGAGACCAGTCTCTGGCCATATGATACCACGATCAACTGCAAACTCGGACCCAAGAAGATGGTGGATCCCTCCAGGATGTTTCCACGGCCACCGAATAGTTGTCCCCGTGGCTTTCCTGTACTACACGAGGGTCACGTTCGTGGGGAGGCAAAGCATTCGGCAACGAGACAAGAGACGGGCGTAAACCGGCAGCTACGCCCGGGAAGCAGGAGGATACTCAAGGAGACATACAGTCGGACCCTAGACCTGGAGATCGCAAAGTGAATAGTTGGGTCTTCCATTAGGCTGAGGTGACGAGTGTCAGCAAAGTTTGGAGGGGTCGGACCCCTTTATAAGGGAAGAAGAGACTACCGACAGCTTATGCACCGGCCCTTTTTGGAAGCTCTGTCCCCACAAACCGGAAGAATGCATAGCGCTACGCCTATAGGCTACTCGAGACGAGCACCCTTAAGCAGGGAGAAATGTGACATGGCAACTGAAAGACCGGAACAGGTGAGCCAGAAGAGACGACTGTTGCTAGGGAACGGCTAACAAACGTTTCCGCTGCAACGAACACGTGACACCATAATAAAGAACTGTTGGAAACGGTGTTTAATATTAGGCCGGCCGCGAGGCTATATAGCTAGAGCATCCAGCAAGTTGAGCGTTGGAGTCAAGAATGTGAGCGAGTTGCGACTCTGAGGAGTTTTGATACGGTGCCAGCCGGTAACGGCACGAGAACGGCATCTGAGGAATCTACTTCTCTGAGTGTTAAATAAATCCGGTTACCAATCCAAACCCCGTGTCTATGTCACTAAATACGTGACAATATAAATAAATGGATTATTTATATTAAACTTATTTACACTTGATGGCTTGACTTTCCTAGATGCAGAAAGTCATATCTGCCCTAGCCTCACCACTTCGCGGGCCCTTTCATTGTTGACTTGGTGTAATTGCTGAGCAACTCGAACCGATGTTTTCGTCTTCTGTAAAACATATGCAACATTTAGTATTGATTAACGACATATTGTGTAGCCTCGTGAAAGTAACGTTTCCATTAAAACACTGATCAATTAAATATTAATCGACTGTGTGTGCTGGATTTACGTAACCAGGTTCAAGAGAGCATGCACGCACGCGCACACACACACGCGAATTCCACTGTGCCTAGTTTTCTTGAGAAGTTAACAGTAGCTCAACCAGTCAAGCTATTCACTATTTTTCATGGATCCAGAAAAATCATTATTATATTCGAAAGAGCCCGATATTGGACCTTATACGGAGGCATTATTTTAAACTATAGATAATGACGTCCCCTTAGCTTAGCAAAGATTTCATTGCTCCCCTTTAACTTTGTGTGCGTGTTTAAAGACCTTTTTTTTCTTTCGATTTTCCTTTTTTAAAATCAACACTCTCTAGTTTTTGCAATTAATATTTGTGAATGCAATCAAAATATTGTGATATTTTGAGAATTATAATCAATTCAGTCTTACTACATAACTTTCCGAGAATAGTATCCGCGTGTTTCCCCCAGCAGGAGCACTACACATTTTGAAAATCAGTGTCCTAAGGCATGTGAGCCAATGATTCCAGCCCACATCCTTACATCCTATTAATTTTAATTGTGTCCTCCCATCTAAGCCTGGTCTCCCAAGTAATGTCCAGGTTTTATCATCTCTCCCTTCGTGACGCATGCCCTGTCCATAACATACTTATTATACATTATTCCACAGGCCTATCCGAGCTACAACTATGCCTACCGGGTAGCCGACTCTAGAACTGGAGACACCCACTCGCAGCAGGAAGCACGCAACGGTGATACCGTCGTGGGGCATTACTCTCTGCAGGAGCCAAACGGCAACGTTAGAACTGTCAAGTACATCGCAGATAACAATGGCTTCCAGGCACAGGTGCACAACTCAGTTACTAACAATGCCGTTGCCAGTCCGAGTAGCCTTAGTAAGTTATGGTAATGTCAGTAATTCTTAGTCCCATTGTTAAAACCTGTAACAAATTTTGTGGCAATAAACGTTAACTTTCAAACCCATTCTCTTTCCTTGTCGGCGGCCGTTTAAGAAATGTAAATGCTATGTAAATTGAAGTTTCTCTGCCGCCTATTCATATGCTTCCTTGGACATACAGAGGCCATTTTAACTAACTGTATGGGGCAGAGTCCTTCTTGAAAAGAGTAGAGTCGTTGAGCTGGCCGAAAATTCCCACCTTCTATGAAACCCAAAAGTTCATTAACATGTCCACCAAATGTAAGATTTGAGGCTTTCACGGAGGTAACTATGAAGGAAGCAGTCTTCTGGGATTTGGCACCGTGTACATGTGGTGTTAACCGACTTTTCGGAGGAACGTATCGCCTCCATCTTCAGGGTAGAAGGAAAAATATAAGAAATCCGCAAGCGAAGAGACCGTGCGAACCGGTAAAAGCAGATTGGTCTGCTTTTACCGGTTCTCGTGGTCTCTTCGCTTGCGGATTTCTTATATTTTTCCTTCTACCCTGAAGATGGAGGCGATACGTTCCTCCGAAAAGTCGGTTAACACCACATGTACACGGTGCCAAATCCCAGAAGACTGCTTNGTTCCCAAGAATTGCATTTTGTTCACTATTATTACTCCACAGACTTTACTACCACAAATTTTAATTGAAATATATTTTATTCTATTACCTATAATGCGATCCACTTTATCCTTTGGAGAATCCATTTTCAGGACTGATGCTCGTAATTTTTATTACGTTGCAGTTTTTCTTAAAAAATAAATTAAAAAACGGAAAATCGCGTTAAAAGTAAGTCGAAATAACGTAGGTCGGAGGGTAATTGTAAAATTATGAATCCCCTCGTTACGTAATTTTCTTCATCAATCTATGACATTCACTCCCATATACTAAAATACTCTCTTCAGCCCCATATTCCCTTACGTCCTCAATCTATTAGAGTTCCTCTAGAATAAGATATCAAGTTTCACACCTATACAAAATAAGAAGTAAAATTACAGTTACGAATTTAACAAAGGAGCTCGTGCATCCGGAATATTAAATAAGGCAATGACTCCTAGGGTCATTTGTTAGAAAGCTCCTGTAGATAGAAATGCTCTTCTTTACTCTTTCTTGCAAAGTAATGTAAAGTTGTCCCTGTGCTTAACTAATTTAGCACTACACCACGAAGGAGTATGGGGGAGAGTATGTATAGATCCACATTTCCCTGATCTCGGCACTAGTTGGAGGTCAGCTTCACACCCCGGCCGCCTTACCCACGGGGAAAATCCTCCGTTACCCATTATATACGAGGTTCGGTGCACCCCAGAGCCGGTCTGGACGACGTGAAGAGAAAATTCTTGACCCTACTGGGACTAGAAGTCCGACCCCTCGGCCGTCCAGCCGTAGCCAGTAGCTATACCGATTACGCTATCCCAGCTCCTCCTTTCTTGCAAGGTGTCTGCGTAAAATGTGTGCATATCAAGCAACCGGAAGAGGTAATATCTTCGAATGGTCAACAGACATCAAAGAGTTTGCTCGAAGTACATATTTTTCACCAGTCTTGCATATTATAGTTATGTATAACTTTAGCGGCCTCCGTAGTCTAGGGGTAACGTTCCAACCTCGTGACTCAAGGTAGGCGGGTTGAAACCCGGCGGAGGTCGTGGAATTTTTAAGGGCGGAAAAATCCTGGGAACAAGTCCTCCGGGAGGGACTTTAAGCCGTGGGTCCCGTGTCGTAGCTTTACGGCACGTAAAAGAACCTCATGTCCCAAGGGGACCATTGGGCCAAATTCAGGGCATTTCCCGCCCAACAGTAGTCTCTAACGCCTCTGGTAGATTGGGGAAGCATCGAGATACCGCTGAGCCAGTAGAGGCCGAACTCGCTGGCTGAGTCGGGACTGATGGCACGCACCAGTACCGGTAGGGAATAGAGACGGGTAAAATATCACAGGGGGACGCACAATGGACCAACAGTTGGTCCAAGTGAATGGGGAAACCCACCCTCTCCAATACAATACAATACAATACAATACAATACAATGTGTATAACTTTTAAGAACTGGCAAATGATTTACTGTGACCAACTCCACAGTACGACAGCATATTCGGAGGAATGTATAACTGGAAGTACTGGGCAACAAAATTACAACTGCATATCCATGTCCTATAGGCACCTTAAACCGTAGGTTGTCACGGTAAAGAGCGAAACTTTCAAACCAAGAGACGAAAGCTGGATTTGAGGTTCTTACAGTGTTGACTATGAAGTTCTGTCTTCTGGGATCTAGCGGCGTGTAGTCTTGTTGATTTTCACTCAACTACATGGCGTTATATCTCAGAAGATAGAATTCTTCAAAAGAATAAATGTTCCCTCAACCCAGAATCTTTCATATCGTAGCATGTACAGCCGTTTCTATGCAATATGCGAATAAACAACGGTGTTATGCAACCCGTTTGTAGGCAACGGTCCGTGCAAAATGGTTATAAGGAAGACAATTGGGGCGACTCGGTATTTGTCAGTTGAGAGTGTTAGTTGAAAGTCTGGCTGTGAAGAGAAGACTAGGAGATTGGTGTGAAATCGCAGCCAGGCTGGGAGCTGTCAGTCGTCGGGAGACTGTGAAGATAGAACTTGAGGCCGTGATACTGAAGAAATTTCCATTGTTAGAAGCGGTTGTCAGGGAACGGCTGATGAAAATACGGAAGGCTGGAAAAAGGCTCGGGGGTGCTGATGTGATTTGTAAACTGTGATTAGTGATAGCGTTTTAATTACTTGTGGTTCCAAGTTGAGTTTATAAGAGATCAAGTAAATCCATCCACCAATCCACAGCCCGTTTACTGTCACCCCTAAATCGTGACAATATCCTCCGGCATATCACTTCATGTTAAGGGGCCCCTACTCTGGTTACGAACAGAGAATACCGCATCCTGATACAACGAGCAACTGAAAGTATATTGAATAAGCAATCGCGGACAGCTTGAAGTGTTCTTTGGGAGGCTAACAATCCCACACCGTACGAAAGTTACACGGGGCTTCGGACTTGGAAAGAACGGAGGACGAAATGGGCGGGTCGTGAAACCCGCATTAGTGAAATGAGAAATTCGTACAAAGTTTAATCGGAAAATCTAAAGAGATCATTTCACGTATCTGCACGTAAATGGGACAATAATATTCATACGATCTTAAAGCAGACAGGCCGGTGACCGTAGCCGAGCGGTCTAAGGTATGTACTGTCTTCGCTCGCTTGGAAACCGGGATCGTGGGTTCGAATCCCACACAAGGCATAGAAGTTCTGTGTGCGCGTGTATGTGTTTATTCTGTGTTTGTGTAGTCCTGTGTATAAGTAGAGACCTTGCGACAAGCTGATTACTCGTCCAAGGGGTCCTACCGTCAGTAAAATGATAAAATTAAAAAACCTCGACACCCTACGGTATAAGAACGGATTAATTAAAAGCAAAAACGTGTGAGAGTGTGAACTGGATTCATCTGGCTCATAATAGTGATCAATGGTAGGCTTTTGTAAAAATGGTGTTGACCATCCGTATTCATAAAAGTCGGAGAATTTCCTCACCATCTTTGCATATATAAGATTCTGATGAAGAATTCCACACTAAGTCAGTTAGTTATAGCTGTATATATCCACTAGCTTGTGTGTGTGTATGTGTGTGTGTGTGTATACACACACATACATGTTCTTCCCTATGTTCCGCTCAGTGGAAAAATAGGTCAATTATTTATGGGCACGAAATAAGTAAAGAGGAAGAACTGAGGACAAATTCATCCTTCGGGTGGCAATAACAGGTTACGTATGCATTACTTCCGTGTTGACCTGTATGGAAGGGCAAGAGTTGGAAGCTGGTCAACGCTTTCGATGGCGCACGCAAAATTCCTATTACTATTAATTCACTCTTTTTATAAGTCAATGATATTTAAGCAAATTCTGTATAAGAAACAGAGCATGCAGGCCTGTATTATGGATTTGTTTAAACTATATTCAGGACGATGGGCACTATCTTATGGGACGTAACGCCATGTAGTATAATGAAGCTCACAGACGTTTCGAAGGATGTACTCTCTCCAATTCAAGATCAAATATTACGCCAACCAAGAAGCAGACGGAAAGTAAGTACACTACTTTGACACGCCAATGAACTTCTACCTCACTGCACAAAGTCACATTTCAGAAGACAGTATCTTCATAATCACCACTGTGAAAACCTCAAACCCAGGACATATTCATGATATTGTCACAATTTTTTATGTGACTATGGATGGGATATGGATTGGAATTTATTTATTGTCCACTTGTATACACCACTCGGAACCACACTTTACAGATCGCTGACACACACACTAGTGTCCTCAGTCTATTGGTCTCCACTAGCCGTTTCCTGGCCACAGATTTAACACAGGAACTATAACAGTCTCACTGAATTACACACTCCAAACATCACACAAAAAGTCTTTTCACAGCCGCACTCTTTGCAACTAACTTTTTCCTCCCCAGCGTCCCGTACAGAACTCCATTACATTACATTACAAATGTCTAGTTCGTTTTGCTGACAGGTAATGTAATTAGCTGTGCTGCTAAAAGCAAATATCACATTAAGCAGATCTGAGTTCAAGAATCGTGCGGTCTGAATGGACACAGCTATGTTGTTTCTTTGGGTTACTTCCATTTACATTGCCTGAACTCCATTGCTAACTAATAATAACCAATACTGATAACTTATAGAATCTATGTATTACTTAAGAATAGGAAATATTTATAGAAAGTAAGACCAGAGTAAAATTACTTCCTTATTTTAATTACTTTAATCAGTCTTGTAATTTGAACAAAGAGAGGATGATTTATTAGGCCCAATGTGAGATCTGAGAATTTATTCCATTCTCTGATTTCTCAGTTACCTTGTTAAATCTGCAGAATATAATTTTATTTAGGGTATTTAGCGACGCTGTCAGTGGCTCAGATTACGGAGGTCCAATGATAAGATGATTAACAAATGATTAAATGATAAAAGATTAAGTAGGAAGTGGTCTCGGTGTATTTTAAGTTATTACTCAAACCCTTCACAGTCAGATTTCCTGACAGGAGTGAATGGGAAGACGGGTTTCGGCCCGATAGAAAAGGGGGACTGATCTGGTATACAGATGGTTTCAAGATAAACAAGGGCACTGGAGCTGGTGTGTACTGCTATGGCACGAGGCAGAAACTTAGTTTCAGCTTTGGCCAGTACACGACAGTATTGCAGGCAGGGACAAACCTTCCACTCTATTCAGTGTCTACAACAGTAGAACTTCACTTCCAAGCACCGTCAAGGCGGAAAATGCAAAAATGCTGACACCCTTCCTGAGAAGTGTACCCACTGCTACAAAGCCGAAGCGCAGGAAGACGTCAAGCAGGTACGAGCTACTGTGGCTGTAGCCACAGCCAGCTGGGATTCACCAGCTCTGAGAAGGGTACAACTGAACGACCAGGACATAAGGTCCAACCTGGAGGAGACAGACCTCACCAACTGCAGCCCATGTACAAAGCCAAAGGGCCCAATGGAATTCCCTAACTGCGAAGAATGGCATACTAAAGCGCCACTGGAAATCTCCCGTCAGACAATCAAAAACAGTCCAGATAATTCTCCCTCGGAGCAGATTGAATGACCAAACTATATGGTGGACCATCAGAAGGTCATTTGGGTGTCAACAAGACCCTGGATAAGGTCCAGCTACAGTACTACTAGCTCCAGGTAAGAGAAATTGATAAGAAATGGTATCGGCAGTGAGTCACCTGTGTAGCCATTCGTGGTTCCCTACCAGGAATCGGGGCCAAATGCACCACAACGTCGGGATCCCATTCGAAAGGATGGCCATCGATGTAGCAGGTCCATTTCCAAGGAGCGCCCAAGGAAACCGATACCTCCTGATCGCGATGGACTGTTTTACCAAGTCGCCGAAAGCCTATGCCATTCCCAATCAAGAGGCTTAGGCAGTGGCGGAAGCGCTGGTTACCAACTTCTGCCACTTCGGAGTACTGCGGAAGCTACATACTGATCAGGTCCGTAACTTCAAGTCCCGTCTGATACAGGGGATTTTGTAACGTCTGGGAGTGAGCAAGACGCACACCTCATCCCTGAACCCGCAGTCAGACAGAATGGTGGAAGAGTACACTAAAGCAATCAAGGGGAACCTACAAAAAGTCGTCACATCGCACCAGCGGGATTGAGACACAAGGTTACTCACTTCTCTCCTTGCTTACAGGGCAACCATTCATGACACTATAGGCTTGAATCCTGCTAGCCTAGTGTTCAGAAGAGAACTCCAACTGCCCTGTGGCCTGCTCTTTGGGGTACCCCCCCCCCCAAAAAGGAACAACCCGCAATACACGACATCCACAACTATGCCTGCCAACACCTGAAGCTGACCAGTGACTGGATGAAAACTTACTACAACAGACTAGCCAACTGTTCAGGCTGCCATAAGGGCAACAACGTGTCACTCTATTGAGCCATCACACAAAAGGAAAGTCACCCAAGCTTCAATCCCCATGGGAGGGCCCATACTAGGTAGTAAAGCGGATAAGCGGTGTGCAGGATCCAGCAAAACCCTAGATCGTGAATGGTCGTACACCTGGACTGGCTCACACCTTATGAGGGAACCACTTCAGACAAGTGGCCTTAAGAAGGGAGCAGCAGGAGCAGTTGGAAACTGATCACTATGAGAACTGAGCCATGGGGAAAGTAGGCGAAACAGATAACAGACATCACAAGCACAGGCCTCAGAAAAGAAGAAATGGTGGTTCATGCCATAGTTTTTTAATGGAATATGGCTAAAACATTATGTGATTTTAATATGTGTGAGATCCATTGCCCTAATCTTGCAGAACAAATAACATTTTGTAGGCCAAATGTGCAGCATCTCATTTATTCAAATTTTGTCACAATATCAAATTTATCACACACTTTCACTGCTATAAATTTCCATTCTTTTTAATTGAATAACTGTTTGTTAGCCAGCAGAAGAGTTCTGTCCTTGATTGTGTATAAGGAAATTAACTGTTATTTACAATTCATTAACTCAATTTTGTAAATTTAAAGCATTACACTATTATGTACTCAAGAAAGTTTTCGCCAAAGTTTTTGTTTCCAGCTCCAGGCTAGTAACTGACCTGCATCTGGCTAGGTGAAAGCTCTTCTCCTGAGTAACATGCAATATCAGTATGAATGAAGAACAACCTTTACATTTAATATTGCCTAATTATGTTACACAAATGGTGACAGGAATATCACAACAGTAGGCACCTGATGGAACAAAGTGATTGTTCACTGAATCTGATAAATCACTTCAAATTTCTTCTTTTCCATTGTTTTGGTATTTACTGAGTCTAAGTATGAAGTCCAGTAAGTACATTTGCACTTTTACATCTAATGGGTTGTTCGTGACAAAAAATCCTGGAACACCTGCCTTTTCTAATGTGACTTGCTGATCACTAACCTGCATTCAAACAAAATGGTATCACCTGTAAATTTAATGCTGATCAAAGCAAAGTAAAAATTTGATAAATTCACAAGCTCTTGTCAACATAAGAACTGACAAAACATAAGCATGTAGGGTGTCAAACAATGTACATTTTGAAAAGCATATATTTAAATGTACAGGGGGCACAAGGTAGCGTAGTTGGTTGAGGTGCTACACTACAAGCCAGAAAGTCGAGGGTTCAAGTCCCGATGAGGTCATTGGATTATTTTCAATTGACCTAATCCTTCCAGCTGCACTATGGCCCTGGGGTTCACTCAGGAATTAATTAAATTATTTTCCTTGGGAGTAAAGCGCGGCCGGAGCGTAAGGCTGACATCCTTACCACCATCTTTGAGCCGATTGTCTAGATAATGTGGGACCCTCAACATCTCACAACGCTACAGGTCTTCATGGCCTGGTACAGGGATAGCTTTACTTTTTACTTTTTTATATTTAAATGTTCAGTTGCTCTAAGTGAAAAAAAGAAGATAAGCTGAGGATTCTGCATGTCCACTTGTCATTTAAATCAAGAGAATTTACAAATAATAATTTTAAAGACCTGTCCTAAAAGTTATGATATTCTTAATAAAATAAAACAAAGATGAATTTTTGACCAGGTATGAAACATCTCAAAGTTATGTAAAATGACAAATATAAATATAACATTGGCACTATCTACAAATTAACTACCAATACCACAGTAATATAGAACGCCCATAAAGTCTGAAGACACAGGGAAAGGGAAGGAAATGTTACAGTGGTTCAGCACTGGCTGAGTGAACAGTCTCCTAACAGCTGAACCAGAAAATACTGGTGCTGTGGAGTGGGCACCAGGATATGGTTCAACACTGAGTTTCTACAGTCAAATCCTTTGTAAGCATGAGAGTTCAGAGAAATTGTATTTGGAAGTTAATTAATTTTCTCTTAGTAACGCTACTGAATGAGTAAGTTATACTGAGGTGTCTTCCTGACACTGAAGGTTCTTAACCTTTCAGTATTCAATGTCTGAAGTGTGGGCTGATTGTTGCATAAAAGTCACATAGGAAGGTCTGCTATCTGGAACTGTCAGCACTGGCCTGCCTTTAGTGAGGATGGCAGACATCCACCACTCCTACCTTGGGCAGCTTTCTAAGAAGATACCCTTTGGGAATAACCGTGGTGTACCTAAAAGCAAGGTCAAGGCAATCGAGCAAGGATGATTTTATGATCCCATTCCAGGCACTATCCTTGGCCATTTACTGGCTCCACTGGACTAGAGGCTGATGGGGTGAAACACTGTATTTTGTTATAAAACTGCATAGTCAGTTCCCAATATATGACAGCTGGCAGATGTTCAAAAACAGTGAAAATCTAAAAATTGTGGATATAAAAAAGCATACTTTACATTTCATTTGGTCAATGCAGCCACGCTGCAACATACCACAAAATTATACACACAAATAATACAAGAACTACATAATGAAGGCACATGTACAAGGATTAATATGGTACAATGGCTATTAAACTTACTTTCTGGTCAAGCTGAAGAACTAATTTCATATCAGTATGTTTTAATTCTTCTTTATGTTTTTGCTGAAGGAGTATTCGTTGTTTCTGCCTGGCTGTAGGATCACTCGTATGTTCAAGCATGTCCTGCATCTCCACTGAAACAAGACTGTATTTCAGATGGAAACAGTAACATGTGAACAGTTACACAAATACTGCTGGTTAGATTACAAATGTAACCATATTTAAATTGGGTAACTATTTATGACTCAAAGAGTACAATAAAATAAAACACTCTATCAGACACAAGTAAGGATGTTGATCTAGATGTAAACACCGAGAAAACTGAATGTGTCTCTAATTCTTATCATCACATTGCAGGAAAAATCCCAATATTAAAACAGATAACTAATATACCAAAAATGTTGAAAAGTTCAAATGTCTGACATCAACTGAAAGAAATCAAATTTTCGGTCACAAAGAAATTAAGAGCAGGCTAAATCTGAGGAATATTCGCTACAATTAAGAATATAAATAGTTTAGCATTCTACTTACTTTAATGTTTTCTGAGTGACAGTAACATTTCCCAGATATAAAGTTTCACAATCTAGTCACTTACTTGAATGCTTGTTGACTAACTGTAACCTTTGTTGGAACAGGTGCTTTTCAGTTACATGTTGAATTTCCATTAAACCCTTCACAATTTCAAATATCGTATCATTTAATGCATTTGCTAAACCAGAGAGCAGTTCACATGGCACTCGTTGCTGGTATTTTCTATGAGACAAAATTAAAATATTAAAAATTGTCAGTATTTGATAGGGTATTAATAAAATAATAATTTTCATGTGGAGATACCAAAATATTTTAATTACACTTGTATGTCTGTAAAATGCGTGTCTTTCTCTCATCCTATCATTATATCTTTCCCTAACACTTCCAAAATCTGTGTAACACACCTACCTGTCAGACATTACGGTACGTACCATGCAAATGCAAATATATCTACGGTAAATAGTTAAAAACGTCCTGTCCTGCTGGCTAAAAGTACTCTACAGCTGTTCTTTACAAGACAAAGATTTAATTCATGCTTCTGCATAATTACCTATAATTCACTGGAGGGAAATATTATAACAAACAAATTAAATTAACTGTATCTTACGGTGGTAGTTCTCTAGCCATAAGCTGTAACTGTTCGAGAAGAAAGTAAACCTTCTTTTGTAAATCTTCTGGAGTAGGACTTATACTTTCTACGGCCATTGAAATATATTTTTAATTATCTTCACCAGAGCACACACGCTGCTCAACTACCTTCGAATTTTTAGATATATGCGGTTTGGCACGGATGTTCTTATATTACATTCCAACACTTCGTTTCCTATTATAACTATATACCGATATCCATGGCCCCTTACCCCTCTACCTGCCTAATCTTTGGAATAGTAGTCATTACCGGTCATTACAGAGCAACCAACTTAAATACTACAAATTTTAAATTTTGCAAAATAACAGCGCAACTATTAAGGACACGTAATTCGGTAGAATGCATAGATAAAACTACTGTGCAGATATTACCGTAGTATTGAATCTACAATTTTATTGCGTGGGATGGCCAGCGTTCTTCTCTCTGATGTTATAGTTACAAAATATGATTTTTTAGGTTATGTTAGACACGTTCCGAGGAGTTGACATGTACAGCTAATTTAATAAGTGAAATAGATCAAAAGAGGATGGTGTTCCTGTCAAGAATACTGCATAATGGGAGGGTATGCTGCATTATCTCAAGTAACATATTAACATGGAGCTTTCTCATTATGAGTCTGTACAGCTTTTAATGAATTTTTAAAGAGACTAGATGCAATTTTAAAGTATCTGTACAGTCCAGAATCTGATATTATAATCTGTGTAGATATAAACATAAACTATCTAAATGAAAACAACCGTAAACAACAAATAAACACACTACTACAGACGTACAATCTGTCACAAACTGAATTTTGCAACAAGAATTCAAAATTCTTCAAGTACAGCCATTGATAATATTTTTATAGACAGTGTAAGATTAAGCTCTTCTTGTACATCTCCCATAGTCAACAGCCTATCAGACCATGATGATCAGTTTCTCACACTAAGTAATATAGCTACAGAGGCTAATTTAACACCCCTGAAACTGGGAACCAGAAGAATAAATAATAAAAGCATTCTGATATATTGGGTTTTTGGACTTTATCCATCGTCCTGGTTTTTNATTCTTCAAGTACAGCCATTGATAATATTTTATAGACAGTATAAGATTAAGCTCTTTATTATACACCTCCCATAGTCAACAGCCTATCAGACCATGATGGTCAGTTTCTCACACTATGTAATATAGCTACAGAGGCTAATTTAACACCCCTGAAACTGAGAACCAGAAGAATAAATAATGAAACCATTGCTCACTTTCAGCGTCTATTAGAAAATGAAACATGGGAACCTGTTTTTGAAAATAAGGATACAAACTATAAGTTTAATTCTTTTTTTTACATATCCTTCTAAGTACCTTTGAAGCTAGCTTTCCAGTTCAAAATAAAAAATGACTGGATTAAAATATCTTGCAAACATAAAATGAGCCTATATATATATATATATATATATATATAGTAAAAATAGAAATAATACA